GGGAGGTTTAGATTGGATGTAAGGAAAAATTTCTTTACTGAAAGAGTAGTTAAACCTTGGACCAGGCTGCCCAGGGAAGTGGTGGAGTCCTCATCCCTGGAAGTATTTAAAAGACGTATAGATGAGGCGCTGAGGGACATGGTTTAGTGGGCCTGGGGTGTTGGGTTGACGGTTGGACTCGATCTTAGAGGTCTCTTCCAACCTTAATGATTGTATGATTCTATGACAAGGGGGAATAGTTTTAAACTAAAAGAGGGGAGATTCAGACTAGCTATAAGGAAGAAATTTTTTACACTGAGGGTGGTGAAGCACTGGCCCAGGTTGCCCAGAGAGGTGGTGGATGCCCCATCCCTGGAGACATTCCAGGTCAGGTTGGACGGGGCTCTGAGCAACCTGCTCTAGTTGAAGATGTCCCTGCATATGGCAGGGGGGTTGGACTAGATGACCTTTAGAGGTCCCTTCCAACTCAAACTATTCTGTGATTCTATGAATCTCTGATAAGAAGTGAGGGAAGAAGGAGGTTATGTCCCCTTACAAAGGACTGAACACCCACCAACCAGCAATCCTTCCAGCTCTATTTCTGGCTGATCATATTTTCTTTTGGTACTTTCCATTGAGATCACCTTGTGATTTATTTTATTTGTTGTAGTGCACACCTATTTTCAGCTACTGCATTTTTCATCTTGATCTGCATTATCCTATTGTTTTCTGGGCTTTTTTTTGTTTTGGGTTTCTTTTTAAGGCTAATTCTGGCTACAGACAAAGCCAAACGCAACCCCTGGTGTTTTATGATGACCCTGGATGGCACATCTGTCACTGATAAATGATTCCTCATCTCCCTAGTGGCCTCAATGCCACTAAAGTCTCGATGCCTACCAACTACTGTTGCTTCTGGATAGGGCCTTTTAAACCACACACGCATTTTGGAGCTTGATCATGATCTATATATCCAACTCTATGTATCCTATGTATCCGGATGACAGGAACCTCATGAAGTTCAACAAGGAGAAGTACAAAGTCCTGCACCTGGGGAGGATCAACCCCATGCACCACTACATGCTGGGGGCCACCCAGCTTGGCAGAAAAGGACCTGGGTGTCCTGGTGGACACCAAGTTGAATATGAGCCAGCAATGGGACCTCGCAGCAAAGAAGGCGAATGGTATCCTGGGCTGCATTAGATATATTGCCAGCAGGTGGAGGGAGGTCATCATTCCCCTCTACTCAGCACTGGTGACGCCACACCTGGAGTACTGTGTCCAGTTTTGGGCTCCTCAGTACAACAGAGACATGGACAGACTGGAGAGAGCCCAGCGAAGGGCCACGAAGATGATAAAGGGACTGGAGCATCTCTGCTGTGAGGAGAGGCTGAGAGAGCTGGGACAGTTCATCCTGGAGAAGACAAGGCTCAGGGGGATCTCATCAATGTCTATAAATACCTGAAGGGAGGACAACAAGAGGACGGAGCAAGGGTCTTCTCAGGGGGGGCATTTTTCCCTGTGGGGGTGAGCGAGCACTGGCAGAGGTTCTCCAGGGAGGTTGCGGAGTCTCCGTCCTTGGAGATATTCAAAAACTACCCCTGGGCATACTGGGCTACCAGCTCTGGGTGGCCCTGCTTGAGCACGGGGCGTTGGACCAGATGGCCTCCAGAGGTCCCTTCCAACCTCAACCAGTCTGTGATTCTGTGATTTTTTAACCCCTGCTCTAAGCCATGGGCAGCTAGAAGGTAGGTGTCTGGTCATTCAAGAGTTGGTGGATCTGGTTAATATTTCTGCAAGAGCCGTCCCCTGCAGTAGCACTGACCACATCTTAGTGACTTAGTTGAATTATTTGCCTCTTTCCGCTTTGTAAAGTGGACTCCTTCCAGGGCATAAGAAAAGGAGGGGAGAGAAGGTCCCCATGTTATCACAGCGTCTACTCACTTTTGGATGATTTCATAGGATTATAGACTATCAGAATGGTTTGGGTTGGAAGAGACCTTTAAAGGTCATCTAGTCCCAACCCCCCTGCCGTGGGCAGGGACATCTTCAACTAGATCAGGTTGCTCACAGCCCCGTCCAACCTGACCTGGAATGTTTCCAGGGATGG